AAAGAAAAGAAAAGAAAAGAAAAGAAAAGAAAAGAAAAGAAAAGAAAAGAAAAGAAAAGAAAATCTCACAGATCTCTATATTTCGTTCAATAATGCAGTTCCATGACCAAGCAAAGGGGGGTTACCTGGCCCTGCAGAGGCCTCCAGGACCTGGCAAGAGCACTCTGGCCATTCTAATTGGTCAGTGCTGGTACCATTTTGGCTGTTAAATAGTTTTTTTTGTTTTGTTTTGTCCTTAAAGTTTATTTATTTTGAGAAAGAGAGACAGTGCTCATGCATACAACCAGGGGAGGGGCAGAGAGAGAGAGAGAGAGAGAGAGAGAGAGAGAGAGAGAGAGAGAGAAGCCCAAGCAGGCTCCCAGCTCTCAGCATAGAGCTTGTCACAGGGCTCCATTTCACAAACTGTGAGATCATGACGTGAGCCGAAACCAAGAGTCAAATGCTTAACTGACTGAGCCACCCAGGTGCCCCTGTTAAATGTTTTTAATATCACACTTGTTTGTATTCATTCAGGATCTTCTCCACAGAAGAGTTTTGTTTTAGCAAACAAAGGTTTATCTTAAGCAGCTGTTATATTGGATTCTTTCAGTGATAATCTTTTTTAAAAATCTTCAGACTTTTTCATCTATAAGTAAATTATGATTACTAAAATGTGGAGCCATATTTACAGTGGAGTAAAGTGAATAAAATCTACTTTTTAGGGAAATATATCTTCATCTCATAAATGTTTTTTTTATGAATTACATGGTTCTGCAATACAGAAGCATTTGTAAGTACAGATTCCCTGATAGTTGTCAGCATTATTTAAGAAAAGCTTAGAAATTGATTTCTTGAGTACATATGGAAGTATATTGGTTTTAGGGGCACCTGGGTGACTCAGTCAGTTAAGGGTCTGACTTCAGCTCAGGTTATGATCTTGCAGTCCATGAGTTCGAGCCCCATTCTGGCTCTGTGCTGACCGCTGGCATCGTGGAGCCTGCTTCAATTCTGCATCTCCCTCTCTCTGCCCCACCCCCACTTGCATTCTCTCTCTCTCTCTCTCTCTCTCTCAAAAATAAACATTAATATTTTTTAAAAAGAAGTATACTGGTTTTAATATCAGATATTTTGTAGTTTCTGTAAATATTGTCCCTTTGTTATATCCCACTGGATCTGGTAAAAAAAAACAAACAAAAAACAATAAATTTTAATAAAAAACATCAATGTGCCCTTCTCAAACATGTCCCTTCCTCTGGCTCACACACAGCTATATAATCTTTCTTTTATTTTTTTTTTTATTTTTTTTTTAATGTTTATTCTTGAGAGAGAGAGGGAGAGAATGAGCAGGGAGGAAGGGCAGAAGAGGGAGACACAGAGTCTGAAACAGGCTCCAGGCTCTGAGGTGTCCGCACAGAGCCCGACGCAGGGGTTCACACTCACGAATCATGAGATCATGACCTGAGCCCAAGTCAGACGCTTAACCAACTGAGCCACCCAGGTGGCCCTACATAACCTTTCTTAATATAAAAAGTTTCTTACAGTTGTCCACTTAGAAAAGCTGTAATGTAACTCTTTGGATTAGTTACTGCGGTATTCTTAATGTTTCTTATTTCCTGCAGGTATTCTTGGCGTCACCAACTAAGGGAATTTAAAAGTGAATATCGAGTTGTAGCACTTGATCTGAGAGGCTATGGAGAAACAGATGCTCCCATTCATCGAGAGAATTACAAATTGGACTGTCTAATTACAGATGTAAAGGATATTTTAGACTCTTTAGGTAGGTCAGTTAAAAAAAAAAACACAGTATTAATCCTTTTTAAGGGACTAACAGTCAACAAACTGAATTGGTAACCTCATGTCTTGGGAGGAAGCCTTTTCCATTTACCTGAGCTGTTGTCTGGATCCTGTCACCATGGTTTCGAGTGTACAGCTGAAAATATTTATAGAGGAAATTGAAAATAATACTATTATTTCAATATGGAATGACTAATCAGTCCACCAGCCAAGAATAACTTTAAAATTTGTTTTTAAAAATAGATCTAATGTATGCAATTTATTATTTTCAGAACTAATTATTGGAAATTTGATACTTGTACTCAGAAAATTATTTCTTCAGAACCCACATCTAAATACTCATTTAAAAATGATATAAGATACAGAAGCACTTGCACTGTCTTTCTTGTATTGATTAGCTAGTGCCACAATATTATTGTGTAACAAACATCCCAAACTCAGTGGCATATAGCCGTAGGCATTTATTCATATTCTTATGGATATACAAGTCAAGTGTAGGCTGGACCCCTGGGTCTTTGCCTCAAGTTACAGGTCTTGCTGGGACTGGCTTCTCCCTCTGAGTTGGACTGGAGCCCAAGCTAAAGGGGAGTAGCTACCTGGTGGTAGCTCTTTCTCGTCTCCTGGCAATGGCAGAAATGGCAAGAGGATGAGCCCAGCTGCGGAAGCACATTTCAAGTTTCTGCTTGCAGCTTATTGGTCAAAGCAAATCATATGGCTGAGCCCAAAGTCAAGTCATATGCCCACCATACCACAGCAAATCACACGGCTAAGTCTCATTATCAGAGGGGTCATAAAGGTATACTCCTTTTATGGCAGTGGGGAGAGGGGAGGAGTAAATACTTTTTAACAATAATTGAATCTGCTACACCTCTTTTGACTAAAATCCAGCTGCTACCATGGTATGTTAATGGAGCCAATGTAGTGAGAAAGCCATGAAATCAAATTAAAGCTCTTTCTACAGTAATCTAATGAGAGCATAGGTTAGGCCAATATTCTAAGAAGAAAAAAAATGAATGAGATCTGGGGGTGTCAATGCAGTGTTGTCATTTAGTCTGATTACAATAAAATAGACTCAAAGACCAATGTCTTTTCTGACAGCCATATTTCATTCATCTTTTGTGGTGATTCAGAGTTGGCCTAAATTCATCTTCATGCAATTTTCTAGGCAAATCAATGACATAATATAATCTTGCTTATGACCGAATTATGTGTAATCTTTACCATGGTTTCCCAAACTCAGTTTTGTGGGACAAGAGCTGGGCTAGCTGTTTCCGATTTTTTTTTCATATAGATTCCTGGGAGAGATTCTAAATCTGTAGGTCTAGAATGGAGGTTGGACAGCCAAGTTTTCTAAAAAGCTACTTAGGTGGTTCGTACATACAGATTTTGGAAACACCAAACTCAGTATCTGCACGAAGTGCCTAATTACAGTCAGGTTATGGGAAGATTATTTTCAGAAGTGTACCCATTTTACATGAGGTAATAATGCATCCACCTGTTTCTTTTCAAAGATGTCAACATTTTTTTCTCCATTACAGGATATAGCAAATGTGTTCTTATTGGCCACGACTGGGGGGGAATGATTGCTTGGCTAATTGCCATCTGTTATCCCGAAATGGTGATGAAGCTTATTGTTATTAACTTCCCTCATCCAAATGTATTTACAGGTGAGTTTAAATTTTCATTAAAACATATTTGTTAATGTGACAATTCACTATTGTCACTGACACTTTGGATTAAAAACAGAAAAATTTGAATATCAGTATTTTTTTCATTAAATGACTAAAATATGATATTAGCACATGACAATATCAGATACCTTGGCTTTAAATATTCTTCAAGAGCCTGATAAATTGTAGCTTCATATTTGCTAGCATAATTTTATTTTAATTTTTTGAAGGACATTTTACTGCTAACTTGGAGAGGGATAAAGGGAAAAATGCAGTGACACTATTTTGACAGTAATGAATCTTGACAACCTAGACATAAATTCTTCTCTTGCCTGACTGCTTGGGCTATCAGGAATGACAGCATTCTTTAAAGCTGCAGTTCTCAAATTTTTGGTTTCAGGACTCCTTTATACTGTTAAAAATTATTAAAGACCCATTGAGTTTGTGTTTATATGGGTTACATATATAAATATTTACTATATTAGAAATTAAAAATGGGAAAAAATTTAAAATTCTTTATTAACTCATTAAAAAATAATAAATTCAGTACCTGTTAACATAAATAACATTTTAATGAAAACTAACTACATCTTCCAAAACACAATTTTAGTGAGAAGAATGTCATTGCTTTACATTTTTGCAAACCTCTTTAATTTTTGGCTTAATAGAAGACAGCTGGGTTCTCACATCTGCTTCTGCATTCAATCTGTTGCAATATGTTGTTTTAATTGAAGTATATGAAGAAATCTGGCCTCACAGATTTGTAATTGGAAAAGGGACGAGTATTTTGATAGCCTTTTCAGATAACTGTGGATTTTCTTCTTTAATACTACACCAAACTCAAAAATTGGTGATTTCTTAAAGGTTAGTAACAATGTAGAATCCAATGTCACATTAATGAGAGTTTCATACTGTTACATTAAAATCCATTAGTCTCTTTAGCACTTTGAATGGATATTTTACCCATGCATGATTTTGCATCATCATGCAGTGGGCGATATTGGTTCATTGAGTTATGCAGATCTTCTATAAGTTGACATATTTTGTAATATTATACCAAAGAACCCACATTCATTAATATCACCCCAATTTCATCAAAAAGTCATTGAGTATTGCAAAGCTGTCATGCTCACAGTAGCAAATAAATGGTTCCAAACTTCTAATTTTCATTTGAAAGCTTGAATTTGGTCATTGGCAACAAATACTGTTGATTGTTTTCCCTCAAGTGACAGGCTCACTTCATTCATTTTCAAGAGACTGTCAGATACTGAAGTCTGACTGATGATAATTTGTTAGTCATCCATTCATGTAAAAATGGTATTCCATAAAAAATGCAGCTAATTCAACTAATCAACGCAAAGAACTGCAGAAATGCTATCCCTTGAGACAACCATTGTATCTGGGTGTTCAACAGAACTGCTTTATGTGTTCTTTGTGTTTCATCTTGGTACTCGAAAGCTGTGTACACAAAAGTTGAAATTTAAAATTAGTAGTTTTTGCTATTTTATCTAGAACATTCCTAAGTGAAAATGGCACTTAACTTTATGTGTTTCTGTATTTATTTGCTGCAAATGTGTGGTGGTGAAGAATACAATGACTACTCGTATTGTTCAGTGTCACTGCCGTGGTTTGTGCTCAGGCAGCAATGGCTTTATCTACCATTGCTTTGGTACCATGAGCACAAATCTCAACCAGATGAGAAAAGCTAATAATGTCTGAGTAGTGTAATGAATCTTGGGGCTTCCCAGAGGTCTACATGGACTATACTTTGAGAACCTCTGCTCTAAAGGGAACTCTTAAAATCTTCAGAGTGTTCAAAGACCTGTGAACCATTACTAGGCACATTTTTATTTAGTTTTGGAAAAAATTATAATCTTGTCCTGTTTACCCTTGTCAAGTTTTCAGGTACACCTTCAGGAGCTTCAGGTACTGCTGTTACCCTCAGCAGCCCACTAGGGAACAAAAAACTCAGAACAACATATATCTATGTTGGAAACATGACTACATAAAAGGGAAAAGGGAACATGACTACTGAAATATTGTACAATATAAATGTAGGAGTTGATTTTTGGATATACCCAATTGTCCTATGTCTGTTGAGGTGACAGGATGGATGCTTAGGCTTCAAATATCAAACTGAGATGCACTAGACTGTTCTTAGTTGCATTAGGTAGCAGAAGTTGTGCTACCTGCTTAAGCCATTGATCGGGACCCTTGAATAAATGTTATTTTTGTGATGTTGCTGTATGGACAAGTTGTAATTGGTCACTTCAGCAAGAATATTCTTGGAATATTTCTGGAACTGTTTTATCAATAATAGGTTCAACCCTAGTCAGGTTAATACAAAGTCTTCAAGTAATATGCCTATATTTTCTGCTTAATTATAGTGATATCTCTTAATGCAGGGCTGAATAAATTTTGTTCAATGATGATTTTACAAAAAGTATAACATAACGATGCTCCACTTACCTGAGAATTATAGTTCTACAATTTCCAACCATGTTATTAAATGTAGTTACAAAATTAGAAATAAGAAAAAATTACCTGTATAGCAAAGAAAATTTAAAAAAAACAGTGCACAAGAAACAAGTATGCACACTTGATATGTATGATTACACTACTCTCCAGTTTAAAGATTCATTGTCTTCCCAAAGCACTTAAAGTCCATATCCTCTGGCCCTCCTTGACTGGAATTCTGCTTTGCTCTCTGATTCATCTCATGCCACCTCCTTCTCCTCATTCACTACACCATCCACACTGATGTTCTTTCTGCTTCTTGAATGTGCCAAGCGCAGGACCTTTCTGTGCCTGTTTGTTTGGTTTTTTTTTTTTGTTTTTTTTTTTTAACATTTATTTATTATTGAGAGACAGAGACAGACTTGAGCAGGGAAGAGGCAGAGAGAGAGGGAGACACAGAATCCGAAGCAGGCTTCAGGCTCTGACCTGTCAGCACAGAGCCCTACTGGGGGCTCAAACTCACAAACCAAGAGATCATGACCTGAGCCAAAGTCGGACGCTTAACCGACTGAGCCACCCAGGTGGCCCCTTGTGCCTGGGTTTTTTTTCCTAGATCTTTGCATGGCTGACTCCCTCCTACCCTTCAGGACTCAGTCCACACTTCGTATACCCAGAGAAACCTATTCTAACCACTTCTGCTGAATAACAGTCTCTCCACATCACCCAATAATAATTCTCAATCAGATTACCTTCTTTTAATTTTCTTTATATTACTGTTGCTATCTAAAGTGATCTTTTTAAATATTGGTTATTTATTGTATAAATTCCTTATTAATGGGAACCTCTTCTGTCTTATTAACTGCTAAACCCCCTCACACACAGTAGATATTAAAATATTCCTTGAATGTAGGAATTTTCTAGATCCATAAATGAATTTATAGGAAACATGTTAGTTTCTGTTGAGGCCAAATTAATAAGGTATTCAAATCCACCTGTAAACAAAATCTTTTAAACAACAGAAAATTACCTCCCCATTTATCCCTAGGGAAAGTGTGAGGTCACTGATAATAACCTTGGAGAAAAGGCAATGTCATTTGGGTTTCCTGTTCCCTTCTGAGTCAAGACTTTATATAATGAAATTTTCTTTTTATTTAAAGTGCTATAAATTTTCTAAATACTAGAAATGTCCCTAATAAAATATAAGAACATAGAAATCATTCCAAAGAGAAAAATACAGAAGGCTTATTTGTGGATTCTTTTATGGGATCATCTCAAAGGTGAAATTGCCTTGAAAAGAAGCTCTTTCAATAGTAAGTAATTTATACCCCTTGGATAAGGTCTAACATGGCATTTTAATTTCAGAATATATTTTACGACACCCTGCCCAGCTGTTCAAATCCAGCCATTATTACTTCTTCCAAATACCATGGTTCCCAGAATTTATGTTCTCAATAAATGATTTCAAGGTAAGTCAAACATGGTGATGGATGTTAACTAGATTTATTGTGGTGATCATTTTTGAAATTATACAAATATTTAATCATTATGTTGCACACCTGAAACTAATATAATGTTATGTGTCAATTATACCTCAATAATAAAGTTTAAAAACTGGAGTCCAAGAGGATGACATAGTTAGGAAGTTAAAAATAAAATAAAGATAGACAGCAGCACTAGAAAAAGAAGGAAAGAAAAGAAATAACTGGTCCTGTTTATGTCATTTGTTTAAAATAATCATTTATTGATTGTTATTTGCTGTCCACCATTAGGCTTTTCCTCTTATGCAAGAAAAAAAAAGGCAAGTCAAGCAAATAATGTATTACTCTTAATGAAAAATATTTTAAATTAAAGTCCATCCTTCAGAAAGAAAAATAGACAAATGCTAACATTTAATAAATGCTTCTAAGACCTCATCTATCAGCTTACTTATTTTTACAGTCTCTGTATATTTCAGTGCCTGGTTGTTGCTCAATTTTTGTTGAGAGCCTGTATCCCTATAGGCAAACCTCTTTTTAGAGAACATTCCATGGGGAGACAAGGGAATATGAATACCAGGTGAGAGATTTTGACACGGCAGAAGTCGAGGCCCTTGAGTGCAAACAAAACCCTGAAACAAAGTAAACATGAGGGTTTTGGTGTACCCTATACACCTACAACCAGGAGTCATATATTGTATCTATTTCTTGGAAGTTTATTGAATGCTTTTTGTGTACCTAACACGTATTAGATATTTAAGGAGGCTTAAAAAAGACAATATTGTTTTACCTGGAAAAACTTCTGCAGATAAGGACTTTTTAAAAACATAACTCCAATGCCATTATCAAACCTAACAAAATGAATACTTACTCCTTACTATCATTTAATACCTATTCAAATTTCCTTAACTGTCTCAATTATTTTTTTTTCCAATTTTGGACAACTTTATTTGGGGTACAAAAAAATCTGCACAAATTTTAGACTGTGTTAAAATTTCCAACAAGAGATTTGCTAAATGAGAGCTTCATTTGCTATTTAAGTATTAGTCTCTGGTACTATTAATCTTTGAACAGGTTATGATCAACTGTCTTTGTACACTTTATTTGTTTGAATTAGGAGCCAAACAAGGTCCACACATTATATTTGATTGTTGTAGTTTTTTCAGTGTATAACAGTTCCTTCTTATTTTTTTTTTCCTTCTTATTTTTTTAACACTTTTTTTCCTGAAGAAATTTGGTCATTTGTCCTGGGGAATGATCCACATTTTGGATTTGGCTGACTACTTTATCATGGTGTTATTTAACTTTTTCTGCTAATTCTTATTTCTCATGCTTCATGGATGCTACTAATCTAGAGGCTTGGTTAAACTGAGTTTTCATTTGACAAGAATACTCGTAGGTGGTGCTGTGTATTTCCTAATGCATCACATCAGGGAAGCATATAAGGTCTAGTTGTTTCAGTTTTAGTAACACTAACAGTGACCAGTGGGCTCATGAGTTGTCAGCTTATCTAAATTTCCTAACACCTGCCACCAAATAATTTTAGCATATCTTGATCATCATTGCCCACATCCGTATTTCATTAGAATCTGCAAAATGGTGATTTTTCTATTTCTATCATCTTTTCCTGCTCTTATTAACTGGAATCCTTCCTTAAAGAAGAATGGTCCACATCTACTGTTTGGTTATTCTGAAATACAGTTCACACAAAAGTTCACACAAAAGAGTGGCAGGTCATTCTTTATCTTTATAAACAACTTCCAGAGCAATGACTCGGTGTCCTAGAAATTTCCAGTGATAACCAATGAAGTTTTCTTTTTTACTATATCATTAGGAGCTCATGAGTTTTAAAAAATATATTTGACATGTATCACTCAATTGCAGTCATTCTTTTTGATGCTCAGATTGTCTCATCTTAGGCAATATGGCATAACAGGCAAGTGGAAACTCCTTCACGTTGGCTCCTATGTCCTTTTGACATAAATCCTTCAGTCAGTAATACCTTAGTTTCTTAATGTCCTAGGGTCATATTTTATTCCCTGCCCCAGATCTGGAATCAATCATTTATTGAAGGAACTCTGGCTCCTATTAGTCGGAAATGGTCTGGGTGTCAAGGTGATCATTGTTACTGGGTTTTTATTGCTTCTACATCTTTCTGTTGGACAGAATCTGTACATACATATTTTTTAGAGAGAAAAAAATAATGTGTTCTTATTCATATTTCCAAGCAAAATTAGGACCACAGAATTTTACTTAACTTTCATATTTTGTAAAAAGCATGTATATGGTTCAAGTCAAAACTCTAATACAAGGCACAGAGAGGTCTTGCTTAGGCCTCTGTTTCCTACCATCTTATTTCCTCCTCTTTCACAGAAACTATTCTGGTTAATTTTTGTTTCATTTTTTTATTGTTTCTTTTTGAAAATATAAGGAGATGTGTATATATTTGTCTACTCCTTCTTACACAAAAGGTGGTAACATACTATAAATACTGTTTTCCACCCTTTCTATTTTTTCCCCCACTTAAAGATATGTTCTGGGGGTCAGCTACTCTATATTAGCACATAATCATCTCCATCTTCTCTTGGAGTAGTTATAATGCATAATACACCATTGTGTGGCTATATCATAGTTTATTCAACTAATGCCCCACTGATGGACATTTTTTATTTCCTGTCTTTTGCTACTGCAAATAATGCTTCAATTAATCACCTTTTGCATAAATCATTTCATATTTTTGCAGGTGTGTTTGGGGGTTCAGGGATCTGCATTTTATTTTATTTTTTAATGTTTATTTTTGAGAGAGAGAGAGTGGGGGAGGGGCAGAAAGAGAGACAGACAGACAGACAGACAGAGGTTCCTAAGCAGACTCTGTGCTGAGAGCAGAGAAGAGAGCCTGCTGTGGGTCTCAAACTACGAATTAGGTTATCATGACCTGAGCAAAAGTCCTGACGCTTAACCGACTGAGCCACCCAGTCGCTCCCAGGGATCTGCATTTTAAACAAGAATCCTAATGATTCTGATGCAGGTGATTTAGATCTACACGTTGAGAAACACTAGTATAGAGCAGTGTTTTTCAGTTGTGGGTGGGGACCCATTAATGAGTCACGTAATCAGTTTAGTGGCTTGAATTCGAATTTTTTAAAAAATAAAGTAGAACAGAAGTGAATTGAAAATATCAGTACACACTATAATAAGAGTAAGGGATATTTCTTTAAAAATTTTTTTTCATGTTTTTTATTTTTGAGAGAAGGAGAGACAGAGGGTGCATGGGCAAGGGGCAGAGAGAGAGGGAGACACAGACTCCCAAGCAGGCTCCAGGCTCTGAGCTGTCAGCACAGACTCGGGGCTCAAACTCATGAACCATGAGATCATGACCTGAGCCAAAGTCAGACAATTAACTGACTGAATCACCCAAGCGCCCCTCTAGATTCTACTTTTAAATCCTGTTTTCTTTTTTCTTTTTTGAAAAATTTTTAACGTTTATTTAGTTTTGAGAGACAGCACAAGCAGGAGAGGGGCAGAGAGAGAGAGGGAGACACAGAATCCGAAGCAGGCTCCAGATTCTGAGCTGTCAGCACAGAGCCCAATGTGGGGCTCAAACCCCCAAACTGTGACATCATGACCTAAGCCAAAGTTGGATGCTAAACCGACCTAGCCACCCAGGACCTCAAGAGATATTTCTTTAAACTTTTGTTTCAGAAAAGTATGTGTATAAGTCTGAACTGGATCATGACATATAATGTGTTTGTTACTCTGGATTATAGTCCAAAAAAGTTCAAACAATTCTTGGGGGAGTAGATTGTCAGTAAACAGATAAACTACTATTAGCTAGAATATTAGGGAAGACTTTAGGGTAGCAATGGTATCTGAACTTAGCCTTATAGAATGTGAAGGGGCACCAAGAACATAGGTTGCTTTTCATAAGCGCAAAGTGTACATGGGGTATTAGAAGGGACGAATACCGGGGTGCCTGGGTGGCTCAGTCGGTTGAGCGTCCGACTTCAGCTCAGGTCACGATCTCGGGGTCTGTGAGTTCGAGCCCCGCATCGGGCTCTGGGCTGATGGCTCGGAGCCTGGAACCTGCTTCCAATTCTGTGTCTCCCTCTCTCTCTGCCCCTCCCCCGTTCATGCTCTGTCTCTGTCTCAAAAATAAATAAACGTTAAAAAAAAAATTTTTTTTTAAATTAAAAAAAAAAGAAGGGAAGAATACCAAAAGTAAAGCCAGGAAAGCAAAAATGTATATAGTGTGTAAACAGGTCTCCTACCTGGCTAGAGCAGAAATGGGAAGTTGTCACTGACACTAACCATCATTCTCTTTCAAAAGCCAAAGGTTTATTGTTAGGTAACTAAAAAGTTTTAATTATTTTCTTTTCACTTAAATTAGGCTTTGAAACATCTGTTTACCAGTCACAGCACTGGTATTGGAAGAAAAGGATGTCGATTAACAACAGAAGATCTTGAGGCTTATATTTATGTCTTCTCCCAGCCTGGAGCATTAAATGGTCCAATTAACCATTACCGAAATATCTTCAGGTCAGTATAATTTCTTTTTAGTTAAATAAAATATTCATTCCCTAAAGAGCCAATATTTTATTTATTTGTTTTTCACAAATATTACTTAAATTCCAGCTATTTAGGGGCACCTGGGTGGCTCAGTTGGTTAAGCCTTCGACTCGTGATTTCAGCTCAGGTCATGATCTCAGGGTTCGTGGGATTGAACCCCACATCAGGCTCTGTGCTGTCCATGCTGGTTGGGATTCTCTCAGTCCTCTTTCTAGTCTTTCTCTGCCTCTTCCCTCAGTTGCATGCTTGTATACACATGTGCACACACCCTCTCTGTCTCTCTCAAAATAAATAAACATTAAAAAAATTCTAGCTAGTTAACATACAGTGTAATATTAGTCTCAGGTGTAGAATTTAGTGATTCATCACTTACATACAACACCCAGTGCTCATCATAAGTGCCCTTCTAAATACCCATCACCTATTTAACCCATTCCCCCACACACCTTCCCCCCAGTAACCCTCAGTTTGTTCTCTATAGTTAAGCATCTGTTTCTTGGTTTGGCTCTCTTTTCTCCCCCTCCAAGTTCATTTGTTTTGTTTCTTAAATTCCACATAAAAGTGAAATCAGATGACATTTGTTTTTCTATGACTGATTTTGCTTAGCATAATACTCTCGAGCTCCAGCCACATTGTTGCAAATGGCAAGATTTTGTTCTTTTTTATGGCTGAGTAATATTCCATTGTATGTATATATACCACATCTTTATCCATTCAACAGTCAATGTTTGAATGTTCAGTCAGTGTTTCAGTTCTTTCCATAATTTGGCTATTGTTGAAATTAACAACAGGTGTCGGTGAGGATGTGCAGAAAGGGGAACCCTCTTACACTGTTGGTAGGAATGCAAACTTGGTGCAGCCACTCTGGAAAACAGTATGGACTTTCCTCAGAAAGTTAAAAATAGAACTACTTTACAATCCACAAATTGCACTATTAGGTATTTTCCCAAAGGATACAAAAATACTAATTTGAAGGGATACATGCACCCTGATGTTTATAGCAACATTATAAACAACAGCCAATATTTTATTATTATTTTTTTAGTTTATTTGTTTGTTTTGAGAGAGAGACCACAGGCAGGGGAGGAGCAGAGAGGGAGAGAGAGAATCCCAAGCAGGCTCCGAGCTGTCAGTGCAGAGCCCAATGTAGGGCTCAATCTCACAAACCATGAGATCATGACCTGAGCTGAAACCAAGAGTTGGATGCTTAACTGGCTGAACCACTCAGGAGCCCCGTCAATATTTTGTTTTTAAGATTAAGTTCACAGTTTATCCAAAGACTCAAAAGTGTTCATTTTGTAAGTTACATAGTCTTTTTCTAGGGAAAACTTTAAACATATGGAAAAGTAGAGAGAAGAATATAATGGAATCCCCATATAGTTGTCACTTGTTTTATCCATAACTATATCCACTTCTTATTTACCTTTGGATTATTGTGAATAGATGTATGTTTGTAATCATATTTTTAATGATTATTCATTCAAGAAATACATATTAAGCACTTTGTATGTTCTAGTCTATGCCAACACTCAGGATATAGTATTGAACAAAACGAGACAAAGGTCCCTGATCACTAGCCAAGTGGGGAAAACAGACATCAACTGTATAACCACAGTAATGAATATCCGGTTATAAACAAACAAAGACCATGATAGAAAGGGATGAGAACTGAGCAAATGATGTTTGAACAGAGAAATAGAGGATGAGTTACGTATTGACTGAATAAAGTTGGGGTCAGAGGGATTGGCATTTCAGGAAAAGGAAACAGCATGTACCAAAGCAGTGTGGGAAGATAAGAGAGTTGTGGTTTTAAATAATACAGTGAAGGCCATTGTAGCTAGAGCACAGAAAAAGAAAATAAAATGAGAATGGGTCCAAGAGAAGGCAGTGGCTGGTCTTACAGAGCCACGTAGACCATATTAAGTACTTAAGACCCATGAATGTAAAGCTAGTAAATGAGCATTTCAAGCAGGAAAGAGTAACAATCTAATCTGTATTTGTATACATTGATTCAATGTGAGGAAACTGCAGTGGTCCAGGCTAAAGATGATGATAGCCTGAAATAGCCTGAAGGCAGTGGAGATGGGGAGAATGGGTAGATTTAAGAGATATTTAAGAGGAAAATTGACAGGGATTGGTGATGGATTAGATGGGCGGGGGTGGAGGGTCGGGGAAGGAATGAGAAGAGGGGTATCAAGGATGGCTCCTGAATTTTTGGCTTGAACAGCTATATGGATATAGCTCATGCCATTCACTGAGGCAGAAAACACTAGAAGAGAACTGGTTTTGAGGAGAAGGTCATAAACTTTATTGACCTTAAACTAGTTGAGTTTGATGTGGTATCTTAAATATTCAAATAGGCAGATAGATACAAGGGTTTGGAATTCAAAGGAGAGAATCTGTGATGAAGTTATGTAAAATCTTGGTGTCGCTGATAAACACAAATGAAGCTTTTGCTCAGAGTATATTGTCTAGGGAGAAAGTATAGAATGGAGACAAGATATGGAGATTTGTCTGTTCAGGTTTGGACTCTAGACAGGAGAAAAAGATTTTCCTTGGGAATTAGCCACCACAGCCTGCCTTGAAAAGGTTTAGAGCCTTGAATATATGCTACCTCCATAACACTAGAATCTCAGGGAAATATATTTCAATATCATCATAAGCTGGTAACACTTCCAAGCAAGCCTGGTAGAAACAAACACAGAATTTCTCTGGAGGATACATCTCAACTCAGACTTACAATATTCCCACAGGTAGAGTCCCCTGAAGATGAGTTCATAATCCAAATTACAAAAAATACTAATCCACCATTAATGAGTCAGAATACAGTTGCAGTAGAACTCTTACAAGTTTCAAATACTACAACAGAGATTATAAAGTATGTTTAAATCATTAAATATTTGAAAGAATAAAAATTATGAGAAAAGAATAAGGAAATATCAAGACAGACTGGAAAAAGCTGAAAAAGAACAAAAGAACTTCTGGAAATGAAAAATATGGCTATTGAAATCTAAAATTCCATAAGTGAGGGGCGCCTGGGTGGCGCAGTCGGTTAAGCATCTGACTTCAGCCAGGTCACGATCTCGCGGTCCGTGAGTTCGAGCCCCGCGTCAGGCTCTGGGCTGATGGCTCAGAGCCTGGAGCCTGTTTCCGATTCTGTGTCTCCCTCTCTCTCTGCCCCTCCCCCGTTCATGCTCTGTCTCTCTCTGTCCCAAAAATAAATAAAACGTTGAAAAAAAAAATTTTAAATTCCATAAGTGAGTTAAATAGCAGATCAGACAAGCTAAAAAGAATTATGAATTAGAAGATAGCTCTGAAAAAATTACTTAGAATATAGCTTAGAGAGATAAAGAAGTGAAAATATAAAACGTTATATTTGATATAGAGGGTAAAATTAGAAATCATATATTGGGGTGCCTGGGTGGCTCAGTTGGTTAAGCATCTGACTTTGGTTCATGGTTTGTGAGTTCAAGCCCCACATTAAGCTCTATGCTGACAGTATAGAGCCTGCTTGGGATTCTCTCTCTCTCTCTCTCTCTCTCTCTCTCTCTCACTCTCCTTGTGCTCTCTCTCTTTCTCTCAAACCAAAAAAATTATATAGATAGGTGATAGATAGAATTAGATACACATACATATATATAGATGCTAAGAATTTTTTTCTAGTAAAATAAAATAATGCAAATAGAATGTATTATTTTCAAACCAGTAGAGGGTGACAAGATAACTATCAATTCAAAAGAAGGCAGGAAAGAGAAAAGGGAAGCAAAGTACAGTCAATAGCATAAAATAAGATGTCAAAATCAATTTAAATATGTCAGTAAGCACAATAAATATGAATGTATTAAACTTTCCAGTTAAAAAATAAAATATCAGATTGGATTGAGTCACAAAGCATAAGGACATAAAAAGTTGATAGTAGGAAGGTAGAAAAAAGTTATAGTGGGTGTTTTATTGGTTGATTAATTGATTTTATTTTTAATTTTTTTTTCAACGTTTATTTATTTTTGGGACAGAGAGAGACAGAGCATGAACGGGGGAGGGGCAGAGAGAGAGGGAGACACAGAATCGGAAACAGGCTCCAGGCTCTGAGCCATCAGCCCAGAGCCTGATGCGGGGCTCAAACTCACAGACCGCGAGATCGTGACCTGGCTGAAGTCGGACGCTTAACCGACTGCACCACCCAGGCGCCCCGAATTTTTAAGTAATCTTTACATCCAACATGGGGTTTGAACTTAACAATGCCAAGATCAAAAGTTGCATGTTCCACTGACTGAGCCAGCCAGGTGCACCTAAAGAAATTATTTTATTTTATTTTATTTTATTTTATTTTATTTTATTTTATTTTATTTTTTAATGTTTATTTATTTTGGAGAGAGAGTGTGTGTGGGTGGGAGAGGGGCAGAGAGAAAGGGAGAGAGAGAGAACCCCCAGCAGGCTTTATGCTCTGCATGGAGCCTGAAGTGGAGCTTGATCTCATGACCATGAGATCATGACCTGAGCCAAAATCAAGAGTAGAATACTTAATCAACTGTGCCTACCCAGGTGCCCCAAAGGTGTTATTTTATTTATTTATTTTTCAACATTTATTTATTTTTGGGACAGAGAGAGACAGAGCATGAACGGGTGAGGGGCAGAGAGAGAGGAAGACACAGAATCGGAAACAGGCTCCAGGCTCCGAGCCATCAGCCCAGAGCCTGACGCGGGGCTCGAACTCACGGACCGCAAGATCGCGACCTGGCTGAAGTCGGACGCTTAACCGACTGCGCCACCCAGGCGCCCCTAAAGGTGTTATTTTAAATAAAACAAAATCAAATTATTTGAATACAAAATCCAAGGGCAGTCAAGAGATTATAAAATGAGGGGAGAAGAGGTAAACCGAAACCTTTTTCTGACTAACAATAACAACAAAAAATTTACAAATATAAATGTAAATACCATCGATAAAACAGAGATGTTAATTTAAAAGGTAT